GCGGCTAGGGTCTGGAACCAACTTCCAAGGGAGGTGGTGCAGGCTCCTACCCTGTGGGTTTTTAAGAAGAGGTTAGATGAACACCTTGCTGGGCTCGTTTGACCCCAGTACTCTTTCCTGCCATGGCAGGGGGTTGGACTAGATGATCTTCTCAGGTCCCTTCCGACCCTAGAAACTATGAAACTATAAAACAGTGTCTAAAATGGTCAAAAGAGCTTCCTAACCTAGTTAAAAAAAATCAGCTTGTCTACTTTATGCTTTCCCTTTTGTTTATATTTTTAGAGCAAAAGCTAAGATGCTGTAGAGTTGATGGCATTGTTCATGACACAGAGAAATTTCCTCTTGCCGAGGGTGATCAGATGAATGTGTTAGTTAGTCTGAGGTCAGAATTAGATGTTGCCAAATGAAACAGTTGTCAGGATGTGATCCAGCACAGCTGATCTGCTTCATTGGGTGAGCCAAGGGCCTCGCATTGATGCTGTGGGACAGCAGGTGTCATGTTCTCCCAGGTCTTGATGGGTCTGGTCCTGCACACCCTGCAAATTTCCCTTAGAGACACGCCTCCTAGGATATCCTGGGAGCATGTCTCTCTAAGCAAAGAAAACCCTGTCTTTCCCACTTGGAGAGGTGCACCTGCAGATTCCATGGGGTGCATGTTTGTAAGAGGCTGAAGCCAGCTACGCACTCCCAAGACTTGGGCTGATTCTGTGCAGGAATTCCCAGTGTATGCAGAATTTGGTCCCTCAAACCCTCTGAACACCTGCTCAGGGCGGCTGGAGAATGTGGGTGGCTTCAAGCTGCCCAGGCTCTCCTGCCACAAAGCAAATAGACATCTGCTGCTAAAAAGCAGCATAAATTAATACAGCCTTTGTTGTGGCCACAGATTTTGGGCATTTGTGGTGTGACAAGGGGCTTGGGCATCTGTTTTTTTTGGCTGTTGTGTTACCATAAAGGTTTTTATGGTGACACAGAAGAGATGAAAGTGATGTCTGTTTTTAACCCTTAGAGTATTGGTTGATGTGCTCATTGGAGCTTCATTTTGCCAAGGTGCCTTAAAAAGGTATTTACTTCATTGGTGTTTTTACATAATGTTTTTCTTTCAACATGTCTGTCTTAGGAGAGAGAGAGCAGTCAGCAGCAACTTTTGAATTCTTGCTCAGTATAGATGTTTGTATAATAATAATAATAAAAAAGACTTATTTCACTTTTATAGCTGCAGTATAATCAAGAGCCCTGATGGATGCAAAATTAGCCGGTGTTCTATTTAATTGGAAGGATGTTAGTTTAACCACCTGCTGATTTGATTTGAAGCCACTGCTTATGTCACATTACACTAGAATTAATTACTTTGAATAAAATGTTATGTGTTGTTGCTTAAATGCTGAAAGTGCCTGAGATGCATATGATGTTACTTTGAGAGAACAGAGTGTGTTTTTTGTGAAGTGTTGCTTCTTTGTGCTATCATACCCTCTCAACCTTTTATCTACCAGCTTGTCTAGTTTGTCCCTCAGCATTCTGCTTGCGATTTATGGTGGTGCAGCTGTCCTTCTGCATGTTGCTAAACTGTTATGTATGAGTAGTTAAATTCTAATGTGGACTTGAAATCTTTTATTTGGTGGATCTGCAGGCCAAGGCAAACGCACTTTTTCTCCTTTCTCCTTCCCTGAAATTCACAAATTGCTTTAAATTAAATCACCATGCATATAACTCAGTCCAAGGATCAGTAAGTTCAAAGCATAGTTACTGAGAACTAGAAGCAAGAGACAACGAATTTTAGCCAGCATATGCAGGGGAATGTATAGGAAGTTCACCTTCATTTTCCAAATGCACCTGTGTAAGCTTTATCCATAGCTGAGTATCCATAGGAGGGAATATGAAGAAGATATATGAAATATTACTAACCAAGATGGCACACCCATAAATGGAATATTGGGTCTGTGGAGATTTTGTCCTGGGTAGGACGTGAGTCCTAGTATTACGTTTAAAAACTTCACTACTTCTGATGGAGGTTTTTAAAGGGGAAAAAAAAAGATTCTGGGCTTCACTACTCTTAGTACCAATAAAAGGTAGCTCAAGCTAGAGGAGCCTGGGAGCCAACCTTCTACAGAGTGTAGACAGCCAGTGTGCTTACCCCAATATAATGAGACTTTCACCCTTGTATCTGGTGTAACATTATTCCTGGATAAATAGGGAGTAAAAATAGTGGTGTAATTTATACCACTTTAGGTATCAACTGTTCACTCCACCCAAATGTTGTTGTTTGCTCAAGGTATACAGACTATTGCCTGCTCTTTTTCCACCTAATGACAATGCACTGTGGTAGCGCCAAGTGGCTGTGGCTACCTTGGATTATTTGTCTGCATCTGAATTTGATTTTTTTTCACTAGTGTACGGTACTGATATATATTGCACTATTATAAATGCCATCTCTCCAGAACCTCAGGCAACAGCAGAAAAGTCATAATTTAGTACATTTTTAGTGAATGCAAGTATTTGTAACTACAGTCTAAAACTGAAGTCCCCAGTAATGGCCAAAAAAATAGTCTTGTTGAAACAAATGTCTGTTTTGCTATTAACTTGAGGAGTTGACCTTAAAGTATTATTCTCTTTATGAATAGGTGTCTCTTGGTAGTACTGTAAAACTTAACACAAAAAATATGATCTATTATGTATGAAGTGCAGAGATTATATTAGAGATATGGTGCTTCCTATTCAGAAGCAGAGGTAACTGTGGCACTTCTGATGCCCAATGTGTCTCCTATTAGTTGGCAAATATGTGGTTTTATGTTTTGTTTTGTTTCTTTTTAAATGACCAATTATACATACTTTGGACCTTATAAATTGCCTCGGAGACATTTTAAAGTGCATGTACAGATCTTAAATTAAATAACTGTTATATTTTAATATTCTTTACTTTGTATCCTTTTTAGTATATCCTTAACATTGAGTTATTGAAGTAGAACAGTAACCAGAAGTAATGGCGTGTTGTTTTTTTTTAGTTTGCAAAGTGGAGAAATACTAAAATAACAGGTCTGGTAAATTGAAGATTCCAGCATTGTATTTCCTTAGTCTAATACAGCAGAGCTCTTTCATGGTTCAATAAAAGTTGACTTGCATTCCAGTCATTCCTGACTTTTTGCTTATGCCTGATAATTTTAGTAGAGGATTTCTTTTAAGCAGTTGCTAGAGAACTACGTTTTCATGCAGCTTATCTCCATCATTTAAGATTAGTCAGGATAGGAAGCTAGAAGAAGAGTTATGATTTTGCTTATGGTTTGTACATCTTGTTTGGATTATGTACTAACCTTTGTCTGAGAACTAGAAACTAGTTGTCAGTTGTATTCCAGTTCATGAGCTCCTGTGAACTCTCAGCAGATTCCTAGGGCCGTTCTGCCCTTTGTGTTGTCGATAGTCACTGGCAGCCCTCCCTTATATAATTAGGAAAAATAATTATTTCTTGACTTACAAAATGGCTATCTGTTTTTCCTTGCAGCATTTGAAGAGCTTGAGAAGTCTCTGAGTGTAGCCCAGAAGGCAGAGGAAGCTCGGAAAAAACTGCAAGCAGAGATGGATGAAAAAATCAAAATGATAGAAAAAACAAGTGAGGAAGAACGGGTAAACCTTCAACAGGAGTTGACCAGGGTGAAACAGGAGGTGGTTGAGATTATGAAGGTAACTTGATACTGTTTTAGTTGTTTGAAGGTAAAGTTTATATTTAACATGTTCCTTTATTAAGTATTAATATGTTTGGGCTGCATTTTAATATTCTTACTATCTACTGTTAAAAAAATAAGGAATCGTTAACTTCAAACTGATAGCACAGAGAACTTCCAAACTAAGCTGTTACTCTCTGGCAGTTTTTAAAATTAGGATGTTAAAGGAAATGTAAAGAAAGCACAAACCAAGTGCTCAGAAATGGTACTTGCAGTGTCCAGTCAGTGTCTTTTGGTAATGTATCAGAAGTTTACACAAGATGTTGGATTTGTGTTGACTTGCCATATTCAACTAGAATTTTTTTTACCAAAGTCTTGTGTTGTTTGGGATTATGGGAGTCTCAAAAATAGAGCTGTTTTAATGAGTACTTTCGTCTTAACAGGTCTAAACATTTCAAAACTTAAATTGATAGCGTGTATTCTTTTGAAGAAAGGACTTTTTTCTATGTGCTGCATTTATATATGAATCTGCTGTGCATAGCACATCCTTGGTACCTAAATCTTGGTTGCCCGAACACTCCGTTGTCCTCAATAGTGACTTTTTTTTTGCCATCTTGTAACTGTTGGTATCATATAACAAACTTGTCTTGCTTTATGTAATATAGTAACCTATTTCTAACCTGAAATTTGATTCAATACTATTGCAAGTAATTGTTGCTACTGCATATTGTTCTCTCTCAAACTTTATTTAATGCAGTACTGTGACTCTAATTTTCAGTTTAATGTGGTAACTTGTAATTGGTTCATTTCTTTGGAAAGATTCAGCCATTCATATGGCTCTTCGGCAGGTATTTTCCAGAGAGGCTTGGATAGTCAGGAATGTACAATAGTTCTCAGTCCTATTAAAAACAAAGTTTATTTGAACAGTCTAAAGATTACTTTTTGTTGCATGTTGTTGTTCAATAGTCATTCTCTATTTCTCAAGTGTAAATGAGCTTTCTAGTTTGGGGGGAGATTTATAAACTTGCATATATCACTTCTATAGAAGTGATTTTCCTAGAGATCAGTAATATAGGTCTGTAAATTTGGTTAACCACAGTATTATTCAATATCAGTTCACCAATGGAGCTTTGTCCTAAATATTGAATTCAAAAATTAATTTCTTGTGAGTAGAGGGAGTTGCAAACAGAAGCTCCTGTCCTAAGCATAAAAATTACCTCTGACATGGATTTGGGAGCATTACTTTCAGAATTGTTGGAGACATTGAAAAATCTGGGCATTGTGCAACTATGACAACCGAAAAAAATAAAAAAAGATGGGGAAACATTTAGCAAGATTGTAAATAGCTTCTTAATTGAGTTTATTCTTACATGTCTGATTGTTATGCCCATCAAGTAACACTTTCCTTGTTAAAAGGAAGCAGTTAATTGGTTCCTTGTTACATTTATTTGTCTTGTTTCTCATCTCTGAGTTGTAATACAAGGCATGTTTCAGGTTTTTAGAATTTTTTTTATGACTTTGATTTATAGAAGTCTTCAGAAGAACGTGTTGCTGAGCTAGAGAAATTACATAAAAGAGAACTGGCTATCAAAGAGCAGGAGCTAAATGAGAGGTTACAGACCCAAGAAAAGGAGTTCCAGGGACGGATGAAGGCAGCTCTTGTAAGCATCCCTGAAACACCTAAGGGACACTTCTGGCAGAGCTGGGTGGGAGTGGACATCTATGTCTAATGTAGCAAATCCAAGTTTCATTCATTTGGCTCTTCTTCCTTTCAACAAGAAAGGGTCTATGGGCCTAGGAAGAGGTATCCTAGACAAGCCAAGAGTAAAGTCTTTAGCAGTTGCTGTTTCATAACTTTGTTATTGAAGGAGAGGTTGAGAGAATCTTTTATACTGTCCAGCAACTGCAGCATGTTATAGTCAGTTCACACTTTTTTAAAACTCTTTCCTTAATCATAACGACTGGAAAGATTTATTGTGAAGCATGTATTCTGCTGAAGCTGGTGGCAGTGTAGATATGCAACTTGATGACACTAGCTGGAAAAGCTTGCTGTTCACTCCTTGAATGTAGCCGTTTGTAAAAAGGCGGGGTAGTAAAGGACACACAAGTTGACACTAATGTCTTTGACAACATTAGTAATACGTGTATAGTTGAGGAACTAAACCAAAATGTAGCGGAACTCATTGTCTTCCTCTTCATGTGAAGGGGAAAACAAATCTATAGTTGCCAAAGAGAGGAGAAAAAAACAGATTTTTCAGTACTGTTATTATGAATAACAAATTGTAGTGTATGCATGAAGAAAATGTATTTATTGTGTTTACACATGTACCATACTGCTGGTGTCTTTCACTTTTCTCTTGCTAGTTGCTTTGTCTTAATGTCTTGATTTTTGTGATGCTGTAGAGAATGTATCTTGAACGTGATCTTTTATATTGTACTGTTTTGTTTATGATTTTTGGCACAGGAGAAGAGTCAGAGTGAGTGCTTAAAGACAATACAAGAAAAAGAGCAGCAGGAGTCCTTAGCCTTAGAAGAATTAGAGCTGCAGAAAAAAGCAATACAGTTAGAGTGTGAAAAGAAACTTCAGGACATGCAGCAAGAAGTAGAGACATTTAGAACTGTGAGTAAAATATCTAAGTCTGACTAAACACTTAAACATTTTTAATGGTAGTGAGCCTCCAGATTTGGTGTTGATTTATACTGGTATGGAAGATTCACTTATAACACTGAGATGCAGTGGCAGTAAATTATTTTGTTACTATAATACACTGCAGTTCATAATGCTGTGGAGTATTAGATGGCATAATATGGTTTCATACCCAGGTTTAGAGTGTACATCTTATATTTCCATGCGTAGTTCTTGAGATGTTGCCTAGCATAATGATGCTCCAGTCTGCTTGATTTCTACATGTCAATGGTAATATAAATACTAATACATAAGTGAATAAAAATGTGTTTGACAGAGCTTATTAGTATTCATTCCTTTTTAGGTCACAGGCTGAAATATATTCTTTGTCTTATTTCTTAATAAAAATGTGCATTACTAGCCATTACATAATTTTGTTACATTGGAAACTTTGCTTAAGAGGGGGTTAAGATTTGCTTAAGAGGGGGTAGTCATAGCATTATAAACCAGAATTCTGATACGAGAGCCAATACATGGAAATCCACTACCTGTGGTAGCCAGTGCAGATTCTTTCTCATAACAAACGCATGCACTTTTCAAATTACTGTGCGTTCAGAATAGTTATTGTAAACTGTTTTGAGAATTTGTTGAATTAGATGTTACTGTATCTGCATTTTGCAGTCTACAAAATAGAAGAAATCTAATTTATATTATTAGTTTAATTTCTACTGTTAAACTGCAGATACTAAAATTTATTTTGTTTTATGTATTACAAATAATACAGTATTTTATGTAAACGGTCTAAAGAATTGCATAATTTGTCCCTGGCAAATCTTAAAGTAGACACTGACAGTTCTTTTATGTTTAAAATTTGCTTGTTCGTTCTATTCTATTAAAAATCCTCTTTTTATAGAGAATTCTTGAGTTGGAAAGTTCCCCTGCGAAGCATTCGCAAGATGACAAAAGACAAATGGAAGAATTAACCACTCTTGTAGAGTCTGAAAGAAACAAGCACAATAAAGAAATCACTGTTATGGTAGAAAAACACAGGGAAGAGTTAGAAGACATGAAACAGCAGCAGGAAAAGCTTTGGACAGAAAAACTTCAACTCTTAGAGCAACAGCAGCAGTCCGAGATAGAGAAACTAAGAAAGAGACATGAACAAGAAATAGATGCAATGTTAAAAGAAAAAGAGGCAGTTTTCCATGCACACATAGAAGAGATGAATGAAAAAACATTAGAAAAGCTTGATGTGAAACAAACAGAGCTAGAAACATTGTCTTCTGAGTTATCAGAAGCACTAAAAATACGCTGTGATCTAGAACAAGAGCTCTCTCTATTAAAAAGTCATTCCACCAGAGAGAACTTGGAGCTTCAGGCAAAGCTGGAAGAACAAAAAAGCTTGCACAAGGAAACAGTTGACACAGTGCTGAAAAAGGATGAAGTGTCTATTCAAGGCATTGAGAAGGCACTCAAAGAGGAAATTAACCAACTTAAACTATTATTGCAGGAAAAAGAACAACATGTGGAGGAATTAAGACTACAAGAACAGAAGTTAAGGGAAGTAGCGGAAAGAGCTGAAGCGGAAGTTGGACAAGTGTCTGCTAAACTAGAAGATCTCAGTCAGTCGCACCAAAATAAATGCAGGGAGCAGGCAAAAAGGTACGAAGACCTGCAACAAAAACTGGCCAGTATGGAAGATGAAAGATCACAACTTAAAGAACAGATTGTAAGAACTGAATCCCAGCTGAATGAAGTTAAGAGTGAATTAGACTCTTACATCTCCCAGGTACATGACCTGAGGCAACAACTGCAAGAGCAAAGCAATGAAAACTTTCAGAAAGTAACCTCTCTAACGCAACATTATGAATCTCAATTGAAAGATCTGAGTAGAGAGACTGATCAAGCAAAAACAAATTTGGTTGAAAAGGAAAGTGAAATTGAGCAAATGAAAAAACTACAGAATGAGCAAATGGAAGAGCTCAAACAGAAAATAGTAGTCAAAGAGGAGAGAATTAGTGCTATACAAGGTGAATATGAAAATAAATTAAAACAGCAGGAGAACAAGATGGACAAAATGAAACAAAAAGCAAAGGAGATGCAAGAAACATTAAAAAAGAAGCTCTCTGAACAGGAAGCTAAACTGAAAAAGGAACTTGAAAACAAGCAGTTGGAATTCAGTCACAAAGAGAGCAAGTTCAATGCAAAAATTTTGGAAATGGCACATGCCAGCTCAGCTGGAATCAGTGATGCTGTGTCAAAACTGGAAATGAATCAGAAAGAGCAACTAGAAAATCTTGCAGTGGCTCATCAGCAGGAACTGGAAAAAGTCACACAAACTTGGGAAAAGAAACTGAGTCAGCAGGCTGAGGAGCTCCAGGAGAAGCATGAGGTAGAACTACAGGAAAAAGAAAGGGAAATTGGAGACCTGAAGCAGAATCTTGCTATACTCAGTGCTGAGAAGGAAGGGAGTAGCTTAGAGATGGTTCAGCTGAAGGAAGAACAGGTGGAGAAAGAGAAAACTTTGAATGAACTGCAGGAGCAACTGGTGTTGTCATTGGCTCAGGTGAGCACTTTGTCACAGAGTGAAACTGACTTGAAAGCACAGCTTGAAAAACTAAAAGATGACCTTAATTGCTCCCTGAAGGAAAGAGCTGAACTTCATGAACAGCTCAGTGAGCTGAAAAAAGTGGAAGAAGAAAGCCAGGCTAAGATTACAGAACTTACAGATACACTGCGAACAGCTGATGAAAAACTCCAATCTCTGCAATCTTTACGCTGTAAAGAACGTGAAGATTGTGAGAGAGAACTAGAGGGGAAGCATATGGAGATTCAGCAAAAAGAAGTGGAATTCCAGAAGTTGTCCAAAGAGCTTACAGATACTTACTGGAAGACAACTGAAGCCTTATTGCAAACTAAAACTGATGAGCTAATTGAAAAATGTAATGATAAAATAAAGGTAGTAATTTCCAAAATTGCAGATTGTCAATATCAAACTACAAAAATCAAAAAAGCAATATTAATTAAAAAGTGTAAACTTCCTGAATTAGAAGCACAACTTAGACAAACGACAGAAAACCATGCTGCTTTAAGCAACTCTTTGCAGGAGTCGAGACAACAGTTACAAGAGAAGGATAATTTAATTATGTCCTTGAAAGCTGACATTGAGGGCCTTATAACTGAAAAAGAGAGACTGCAGAAAGAAGGAGGGCATCAACAGCAAGCAGCAACTGAGAAGGAAACTTGCATCACACAGTTAAGAAAAGAATTATCTGAAAATATTAATGTTGTCACGTCAGTGAGAGAGGAGCTTCAGAATAAGGAATCTGAAATCTTGGCTCTGAACAAGATGGTGTGTGAACTAAATGTCAAACTTGAGAACAGCGTAAGCTTAACAGAAAAAGAAGAAGCCATATCTTTATTAAGTAAGCATCACCAAGAAGATAAGCTACAGTTATTAAATCAAATTCAGGAATTATCTTCCAGAGTTGAGACACTGAATCAAGAAAAAGCATCAGCTCTTGAGCAAGTAGACCAATGGATGAACAAGCTGTCAGAATGGAAAAAGAAGGCACAGGTAAGGCTTACGCAAAATAATAACATTATTAAAGAGTTACAAAACAAACTGGAGCTAAGTGATACCCAAGCTAGTGAAAAGAGAGAAGAGTTAAATCGGCTGAAGGATGAGCTAGAAAAGCAAAGCAAAGAGCTAGATAGTTTTAAAAGCATAATGGAAGAAAAGCAGAGCAGCAGGGAGAAGCGAGAATCTGAATTGGCTGCAGAATTAAACATCAAAACTTCAAGAATTGCTGAGCTAGAGGAACACATTGCTCAAAAAACAACAGAAAATGGTTTGTTAATAGAAGAACTAAAGAGGCATAATGAGCAAAAAGACACTGAGCGAGAAGAGCTTGTTCAACGACTTCAGCAGACTGAGGCAGCGATTGTTGAAAAGGACAACAGGCTTAAGGATGCTGAAGAAAAAGTGCTAAGTCTTGAAAAGAAAATGCAATCAATGAAAGCTGAACTTGAGGCAAAACAGAGGGAATTTGATCAAGTGAAAACTGAAATGATGAAAAGCAAGGAGGAAGAGTTGAAGGTGTTAGAAGATAGGTTGAATATGGAAAACAGCACTAAATTAACAGACCTGAAAAAAAAGGCGGAACAAAAAATTGCTTCTATTAAAAAGCAGTTAACCTTTCAAATGGAAGAAAAAGACCAGCAGCTTAAGCAAGATATGGAAAGTCAGTTAAAAGATTTAGAACAAAAAATGCAGGAAAGAGAAGCCAAAATTATGGCCTTAAAAGAAAAAATTAGATCAACCAAAGATTCAACAGAATTAGAGAGAGAGATGCTGCAAAAAGTAGAAAATGTCAAAATTTCTGTAGAGCAAGAAAAAAACACCATGCTGGAGACACTGCAACAGACATACGAAGAGAAAATATGTGCATTACAAAAAGACTTGTCAGCAAAGGATAAATTGTTGGAGAAATATGAAAAAGAGCAACAAGAAAGTAATAATTCAAAAGTAGAAATGCAAAACCAAGAAGAACTCTTAAAAAAAGTAGAAAGTTCTGAGAAAAAACTAAAAGAGGAAGAAGCTGTGATCAAAAGGCTCCAGCAGGAACTTGAGGAACAAAATAAGAAATGTTCTTTGCTGTTAGACCATCACATACAACATGAGAGTGATTTAGCAAGAGTAAGAGAAGAATTAAAGACCAGTGAACAAAATTGTCTTGATACAGAGAACGTGATTGGAGACGTCCAGAAAAAACTGGAAGAAAAAGAGAGAGCCTGTAAGTCTTTGGAAAATAAGCTGAAAGAGTTGGAGGATAATTTAACAAAGGAGAAGGAAGTGCACAAAGTTGAGGTAAAAGATGTGTCTTTAAAATATGAAGAAAAAATACAAAGTCTTCAGCAACAGTTGGATGAAAGAAACGGTCTCCTAAAAGTGTTTGAAGAAAATGCAGAAGAGAAGACCAAATCTGATTTGGAACTGCAGAAATTACTGGGAGATATGCAGACCCAGCAAAAGGACTTGCAGGTTAAACTAGAGGAGGCTGAAAGGGAGAAGCAGAAACTGCGCAAAGATGTAAATAATCTGCAGAAAGATTTGCGTACCTTACGAAAGGAGCATCAACAGGAACTAGATATAACGAAGAAGGAATCTTTAGAAGAGATGGAACAGAAAATCAGGTAGATTTCTATGTTCCTTGTGCATTTTAAATTCTTTTTTCCAGTGTTAATATTACTACTTAAAGGTAATATAAATATTCTAAGGCTTTTCTAAATACCCATTAAATACTGACTAACCTTTGTCTGTATTTGTGAGTGGGTTTGTGGGTTTTTTGGTTTTGTTTTTTTTTTAAGTCCCTAACAGTAATACTTCATTAAAAAAGTACAACAATATTTAATAGGATCATAGGAAAATAGGGCTGGAAGAGACCTCATGAGGTCATCTAATCTGGGCGCCTGCTCAAGGCAGGATTATACCTGACTAAATTATCCCAGCCAGGTGTCCATCTAACCTGCTCTTGAAAGTTTTTAAGGATAGAGATTCCTTCTATAGGAATCTAAGCCTGTTTCCCCAATGCCTGACAACCCTTATAGTCAGAAAGTTAATTTTAAGAAGTAAGGAAAAGTGTGCTGTTTTGACAAAATACAGATTGTTTTTTCTTTGGGTTCAGTGGTAGTTGTTTTTGTAGCCTTACTATGTAAGCTTCCTTTAATATTTAGTTTAATACATAAATATAATTTTATATTCCTCAAAACAGTGAATGAGAAAAAGGTCTTAAAATTTAGCTGGAGTAGAAATAGGGTCTTGCATTTCTAAAAGTGTTGAATTTTTGCATGCTTTACTTGCCCACTGTTAAAGTATTAGGTCTGCAATGTTCAGCTGAAACATCAGGCCATAGGCTTCCAGGAGAAGAGGTATGGGATGATCAGAGAGAACCCTTCTCTGTATATCATAAAAGCCCTGGTATACTTTTAAGGGTTGTTTGAGTTTTTCATCCAAGGATTTTTTTTTTGATGACTCTGTGCTATACTTCGTTCCTGGAAGATTGAGTACTCAAAAGTTCTGAGACTTGGTTTAATCAGGTCAGTTTCTATTGTGGGAAGATGGGGGCGGGGCTTTCAGGAGTATCCTGTAGGGAGGAACAAACAGACCCTAGAACAGTGATTCTCAACCAGGGTGCCACAACGTCCTTTGAACGGTTCTGCAGGAAGTGTGAGGAGATGAGCAGAGGCTCAGGCTGTCCCTGCTTAGCTGCTCCTCTGCCTTACTATCTGCCTCCTCTGCAAGGAGGTAAGCTCTGTAATAAATAAATTAGTTTTTGAAATCAGGTGTCACTCAGTTCACAAAGTTGAGGAACAGCGCCTCAAGTCTACCTTGAGGTTGAGAATCAGTGCCCTAAAGAATCAATCAGTGCAGCTCCATTTTCAGAGCAACTGGACTTTGAGAAACAACCTAATCTCCTGGACTGGTAGGCAAGTTTCAGACTTTCTTTCATATCTACGGTGAATTTCTTGACTTTTTACTCTCTTGTACAGATATGAACGGGAAGACGTTGAACTAAAGCATAACTCCACCTTAAAGCAGTTAATGAGGGAGTTTAATACTCAGCTGGCTCAAAAGGAGAAAGAACTGGAAACAGCTGTACAAGAAACTATCAGTAAGTGACATTTTTTCATATAGTCATAATTATATAGCTTTACGCTATTTATAATGCCACTTATAAACAGGTGGTGAAAACTTAAGGTCTTCATAAGGGAATTGCATTAGGTATGGAGGAACTGAGTGTGGCTGTGTGACATTAGCCCTTCCCTAAAGAGCGCAGGTAAAGAGAATTGCTGCTGTATTGAGGAGAATCTTACCTAGGGAAGAACAAAAAACCCAATGGTGTGACATACTTATGTCCAAAAGACCAACAATTATCCCAAGAGCACCAAAAAGAGCTGTAAATTTACAGTCAGGCTTTTGGATCCCACTGCTTCGGCTTGGAGGAGAGCACCTGTTATGTCCATTTGGCCAGCCTAAAATCTGCCTTCAGATTTCCGATAGAAAAATAGACCATATCTTTGAAAGAGCCTCCCAGATACTCTGCAGTAACTTGCTACAATATGAAAAGAAACTCCTCTTTGACTGTACACCTTTGGTCACCTATTGCTTCTTCGCTTGTCCTGAGCCTTCAGAAAGCCTAGTGGCTTCTTAATTTGGCAAGGGAAATACCATGTAGCTGTGTCCAAGAAGGCAGTTTTCCTGAACCACATTGCAGGGAACTGCTCTTCTGGTGTGGTTCAGTGCCTGCTGAGGTGAAGCGGCTTTAAGCCCAGTTTATGGTAATGGGAGTCTCCTCCCTTGCTTGCTCTGAGGGCCTTGTGGCTAAGGGCAAGCAAAATTCAGGGGCATCTGAACCCCAAGACTCCGGGCTTGGGCCTGCAAGTAGGATGCCTGCCAAAGGTTTTGGAAACATCTGAAGCCCAGGTGCGGGTGAAGGATGTTTGCTGGTAGTTGGGCCACTTATGGTGCTGGTAGTTGGGCCACTTGGATTTGGAATTAGTTTGGCTAATTTGGCATTGGATACAAATTTAAAAAAAATAATTACCCCATGCTGAAGCCAATCCAAACAATAATCAGTTACAGCCTATACTTAACAGAGATCAGACCTTGAGAGAAATATTTGCAGCTCCTCCACTCCTGGCTGTTGAAGAACACCCTAATCTTGCCCAGCTCATCAGAAGCAAGCTCCCTACTGCTTAACAGACATCAAATGGACGTGCATGTCAGTAAGAGTACATTTTTTTTCTCAGAACAGCCACTGTCTTTCTGATCTCACTGTCCTCATGCTTCAGGGAAATCTACCAAGCACCTTTTAAAGGCAAGTAAAAGGGAACAAAAATTCATAAGCTGGCTGGACATGAGGAACCAAGGAGTGAACATAAATACTGACATAATGCATGATCTGATTCCTGAAATTCTTCCTACACACTACAAGTTGTAATGACTCTCCTCCCTTTTAGATTTGTCTTCAGTAATCGACTTTTTTTTCTGCTAATTGTTTGTCTGCTACCTGTAGCAGTTTCTCTTCTCCCCAGTGCTGCAGCTCTATTCATTGTTCTTAACAACTAGTATGCTTCCTTCCCTCCCTAGACCAGATGAGGAATGCGTTGTATTTGAAAGTTTGTATAACTTTATCTCAACTGTGCAGTTGGTCCAATAAAAGATATTAATCTTACCTTGGTCCTAGGGAAGCTCTTCGAGAAAATTATCCAGGAACACATCTGCGAGGGACCAGCAGGGGTGTATGCTTAGGTGCAACCAACATGGGTTCATCAGAGGCAGGTCCTGTCAGACCAACCTGGTGGCCTTCTGTGATCAGGTCACTAAATCCTTGGATGCAGGTGTTGTGGTGGATGTAGTCTTTCTGGACTTTAGAAAAGCCTTCAACGCTGTCTCTCACCCCATTCTCATTTAAAAAAAAAAAAAAAATTAGGCAACTGTGGTGTCGATCCCTACATGGTCAGATGAGTCGCCAGTTGGCTGGATGGCCAAACCCAGAGAGTCGTGGTGGACGGGTCTTTTTCCACCTGGAAGGATGTGGTCAGTGGGGTTCCCCAGGGCTCAGTCCTTGGGCCTCCGCTGTTCAATATCTTCATCAGCGACTTGGATGAGGGGGTGAATAGCACCTTGTTCAAATTTGCAGATGACACTAAGATGTGGGGGGAGGTGGGCAAGCTGCAATCAGATCTGGACAGGTTACAGAGGTGGGCGGATGAGAATAGGATGGGTTTCACCACTGACAAGTGCAAGGTATTGCACCTGGGGAGGAAGAACCAGCAGCATACCTACAGGCTGGGGAACTCCCCTTTTGCCAGCACAGAGGCAGAAAAGGATTTTGTAGTCGTTATTGACTCCAAGATGAACATGAGCCACCAATGTGGGGATGCAGTCAGGAAGGCCAACCGCACCTTGTCATGCATCCACAGATGCATCATGAGCAGGTCCAAGGAGGTGATACTCCTCCTCTGCAACACTGGTCAGGCCCCAGTTGGAGTACTGCGTCCAGTTCTGGGTGCCGCACTTCAGGAGGGCTGTGGACAACATGGAGAGGGTCCAGAGGAGGGCCACTTGCATGATCAGGGGACAGCAGGGCAGGTCCTATGAGGAGAGGCTACGGGACCTGAATCTGTTCAGCCTCCACAAGAGGAGGCTGAGAGGGGATCTGGTGGCTGTGTATAAACTGGCCAAGGGAGACCAGCAGGCAATGGGAGAGTCCCTGTTCCCCCAAGCACTACTGGGAGTAACAAGGAACAACGGCCATAAGCTGACAGTGAGCATGTTCAGGCTGGAACTCAGGAGGCACTACTTCACAGTCAGGGGGGCTAGGATCTGCAACCAGCTTCCAAGGGAAGTGGTCCTCGCTTCTACCTTGGGGGTCTTTAAGAGGAGGCTAGATAGATACTTTGCTGGGATCGTCTGACCTCGGCTTTCTTTTCTGCCTGTGGCAGGGAGTCAGACTTGATGATCAGCTCAGGTCCCTTCCGACCCTACTAACTATGAAACTATTACACAAAAAATCCTTGCCTGGACTACCGTGGCTACAGTATTACTGTAATACTGTAGTTTCCATCTATCATGGGCATACAATTTGCTGAGTATCAACTGTGACCGTCTTCCAGAAATACATTCAGGCCTCAGGCTGGAAAAGGTTGATGCCAGTATCACACTACATACAAGTGTCTGTGTCAGGATCAAGAAGTTACTTAAATAACCTACTCTTAAAGGGTCTGTGAAGAGGACAAAAAAATATTGGATTGTTTGACTTTCCATGATTTTGCCTCATCAAAGATTTTTCTTTCGGGTTAAAAATTATCTTTAAATCCTTTAAATCATGTTTGTTATGAGATGTTATTTTTTATTTCTGTCTTCTCATTTATGATGGCACTTGTCATTTTATTTTTTTTAACAGGTAAAGCCCAAGAGGTGGAAGCTGAGTTGATGGAATCCCATCATATAGAGACAACACAGTTGCATAAAAAAATTGCAGAAAAAGACGATGATTTAAAAAGAACGGTTAAAAAGTATGAAGAAATCCTTGAGGTAACTACTTCTGGAAAGTGATCTGATTCAGTCTATTTAAGTAAAGTATTTTCTTTTAAAGGACTCTTGGGGGGGGTGGAAATTTCTGGCAAAATGTTATGTTTATAAGAGGTTTTTGAAAATATAGTAGTTTGTAGTTGCACTAATTATGTATTGATTTATAACATTGCTTGTTTACATCTAAGCGATCTTTGTAATTAAAATGTTCCTGCATCTTACTACTGCATAAGACTACATAAATGGTGCTCTGATCCTGCATTTGGCTATATGGGACGGATCTGCGCATCTGACTAAGCACTTTTTAATGTCGTTAGAATGCTACATGTGTATATAACCCTGCCCACACAGGCCTGGATGGAAAAACAGGTTTCAAACTGCAATGCAGAAAAGCAGCAGCATGAATGATTAAGTTGCCTTGCATCTTTAAAAGGTTTCAAGTGCAGTGATCAAAGGTGCTGTTAGCTGTACAACAACAGATAAAATAAATGGTTTTATTTTCTCAGTATTCTTGCCATGAATAATCTGAAGAACTGCATACCAAACAGACTGAAGACTTTTTCTGTTTTAAAAACTGAGTGTAGTAAAGGCAGAATGTAGCCCTCTTCCCTACTTTTTAACATTAGCAGCTTGAGTGGAGATGTCAGATGTGTAAAACAAGGTACAATTTGGCAGCCATTTCCTTCCCTACATTTTACTTCTTGATTAATAACAAAGCAAAGTACTTTTGTGATAATTCTAACCTGACTTTCTGGATTATTTGTGATTTTTGTTTTTTTTCTCTCCCTCCATATAGTCTGAGCATGTAGGGTTTTTTTTTTTTTGCCAATTGGGCACTTAGGCCTTATTCAGACCTTGAAAGACAATGTCACAGGTTACACTAAGCATGTGTTAAATGTACTTAAAATATGAGCACCCACATGTTCAAGCAGTAAAACGCATAAGTGCTCTTATATTGTGGCAAAGTTGGGACCTTTCATGGAAGGAGTATCTCCAGATTTGCATTAAGTATCATTTAGCTGTTGCTGGACTACTCCACAAAGATGATACAAGCAATTAGCAGTCCCAACCCATCTATGATGTCAACCAGGGACCCCTCTGTTACACCACGACTCTGGCCAGGATGAGAGCTTCACATCAGAAAAAAGGGTTCTGGATTTTTTACTTGTTAGGTTCCTCCTGGATCAAGTTGAACGCTGGGCGCCTGCAGCCCCAAAGTGTCCCAGCACTGGCTCTGTACTGGAGCCTTAGTGTTGGGGCTGGGATGAACAGTCAACTATCTGTGTATGTTAGAGATCATAGTAAACATTACTATGCATCTGCTCAGAACACGCAACTTTTACTACCTCACAGATTTAACACTTTCATGTGAACTATACATTTCAAATCAAAGGGCTTATAAAAATAGTTTTCAGTATTCTTTAACTGCTATGTATGTTATAAAAAGTTTAAATGCATTATTTGCTGCTTATGATCCATTTGCCATAAAGTATGTTTCTGCTTATGTAGAGCTGATAATTGCATTTCAAAGACAAGAACAGGATTATATCAGTAAAGACAACTATCTTAACATCTCAGCGTTATACAATACCGTCAAAGTCCCACTAATTAGAGATCTTCCAAGTTAATGCAACCTATCATTTATGTGGCCTGTGATCTTCTCTATTCAAACTAAAATATACCATTAGAGGAAAATTAAATGTTGCCACCTAGGTTACCTTAATTTGGGGTTGTGTGCAAGCTGAAAATGAAGGCTCTCATTTTAAGTATGTAACTTTGCATTTGTCATATTGTCTTCCATATGCATACGGTGCAGGCTTTGTGGCTAAGATCTGGGAAATTGCAATTTTATTGATGTTTGAATCGATCGTTGCAATGAAATCAGAATAGAATTTGGTTGATATGTTGTCAGAGTATACTAGGTGCTTTTAAGAGCAATAAGTTTTTGGGTTGCATAGAGTGTATAGCATGCTGACTTGTAAGTGTTGTGTAATAACCTAAAACTTTAAATTACAGTGTGTAGTAATGATCTTATATTAAGGATTTTTCAGGCCGGGGTCACGTTTTGGTTCAAGTATAATAACCGTCTTGAATTATGGCTTCTATAGCCACCTTCTGTGACTGAGAATGATGTACTTGCAAATTTATTAGATTTTATCAGAGATGGTGTGTGAGTGAAAATGGATCAAAAAATCATTAATGCCAGTAATAGAAAGACACAAAGAAGCAGATTGATCAAATGAGTTTTAATTTAGTTTAGTGCTTAAGTAGTCTATACAAATGTTATAGTACATGCATATTTATGAAATGGTCATGATGCTTAGAACTTCTGTAGAAGAGCAAAGCAATAAAATAATCTAATCTTGGGGGGAGCAGAGACATATCAGAATAAGCAGAATTTGGTCTAGATTTTTTTTAAAACTTGCTATGCCAAAACAGAGCTTTAGGAAAAGCTTACAGAATATTAAAATAGGTAATGCAAACAAATGATGAATCCCCAGTCATTGATAGTAATGAATGAAATGCCTGTTCAGTGCAGACAGTTGGGCTGAATCAGTGGCCCCTGCAGACGTTACACTTAAGACATACTTAACTAGTTAACTGCATCTTAAAGTGTAACTTGGCCACACGTACAGGCAGTTGGTGGTGCAGTAAAACAGGAAATAAGCCATAACATCATTACACAAAAATTATGTACTAATTTTGTATCTAGTATTCAGCATGATATAGTTTTTAAAGTGTAGCAGGGTGGACCGCATCGGGATCTCCAACTGACCATGGTCCCCACCAGTCAACAATCTTCTGGTTTTGGGGACTTGCCAAGGCCAGTCTGAACCGTTGTGCTGTCCTGATCCAGCTGAGAATCAGCCAAATGTCAGTGGGTTCTGGGGATCTCAGTAGGGTTCAAACCTGAATTTCAGCTTGCTGGGGAGCCCAGAATCATAATCCCAGGTTCCCCCTGCAGGTGGGGCACAATTGGGATCAGATGCCCCATCCCAAAAATTGTGCATCTCATCATGTGATTTGTGTACTGTTTACCTGCCAAAATACCGAACAACAAGGCTGTGTGAAATTTCACTGAGTTTAATGAAACTGCAGCCCCATGGAGCTC